CTAGTCCCTTTGCTTAGAACCCTTCCCAGATCTATGGCCTTTTGCACAGCAGCCATCATTTGTCTCTTCTCTTAATGGCATCCTAATAAATCTTTCCCTCAAAAAAAAAAACTTTCCCATGACCAGCTCACTCTTTCTGATCCTGGGGTAAGGCTGCCAAAGCAGCCTAATAGACATGCAACTCTAGGGTGACAAATAATATATCATCCAAGCTGGAATGCTGTATCTGTCACTACATTCAAGGCAAGTATTGTAACTATTTGCCTCCTCTGCTATATTGTAAAGTCCTTGAAGTGAAGACATTGTCTTAGTCATTACTGTAAGCTAAGCCTCTAACAGTTACTTGATATTTAGTTGATATGTAATGAGGTTTTGAGTAAATAAAATTTAAGTAGGTAAGTTTTATTTTGTGAATCAACTTTTTGCTTTTTTACATTTATGTAGTAGCTGATAATTCACAGAGCATTTTTTATGCATGATTCAATCCATCCAACCATACAAAAGAGGTATTTTTGTGAATCAACTTTTTGCTTTTTTACATTTATGTAGTAGCTGATAATTCACAGAGCATTTTTTATGCATTATTCAATCCATCCAACCATACAAAAGAGGTATTTTTTTTGCGGGGGGTGGGTTAGGGTGGCCCAAATAATGTATACATATGTAAGTAAATGTAAAAACAATAAAATTAAAACTATAAACACAACTCTCTATATACATATATATGTATATGTATATATACACATATAAAAATGATAAAATTTAAAAAAACCTATAAACTCAACTCTCTGTATACACACACACACACACATACATGGCGGGGGGGGGGGGAGAAATGACCCAAACATTGTATGCACATATGAATAAAAAAAAAAGAGGAGAGAGAGAGGTGTTTTTTGTTATTTTCATTTTGTGAATAAAGAAGTCAGTCCAGTGGTTTTTAATTGCTCATCTTGTAAGTAGAGGTTGAGACTCAAACTCTGACTCCTGACTCAAAGCCCAGGTTTCAGTTTTGGAAAAGCAGACAACCCTCCTTCTGGTCAGGTGCCCCTTTACAACATTCTAGGCCTTTCAAAGTTAACTTTTTTTTTTTTTTTTTTGCAGTACTGGGGTTTGAACTCTGGGCCTACACCTTGAGCCACACCAGCAGTCCTTTTTTGTGATAGATTTTTTTCAAGATAGTGTCTCATGGAACTTTTTGCCCTGGCTGGCCTTGAACCATGATCCTCCTGAGTAGCTGTGATTACAGGCGTGAGCCACTGGCACCCGGCCAAAGTAACCTTTTCTGATAACTCTAAAAGCTCCCAGCATTCTTACTGCCCATCTTGCAGGTAGGCAGAATGCCCCACCCCTTCCTTATCTCCTTTTCCATCTGCTGATTCCCAATGCCCACCAGAGTATGCCCACTCCGAATACTAGAGGTTAAAAGTGGGGTTGGAACTCTTTGGCTATCTCTAAAAAGAATTACACACATCTCACATAGCCCACAGAAAATCAAGTTGGTAATTTCATTCTTTAATTTTCCAATTTTATTAATTTTTTTTCTTGTTTGTTTTTTGCAGTGCTAGGAATGGAACTGGGGCTTCACCCATCCTAAGCAAGTGCTGTTACTACTTCGAATTTTATTTTGAAAACAATTTAAATTCAAAGACAAAGTAGTATATAAAACACCCATATCATCAACACCCTCTAATAACCAATGTTGTGATTAAACTTCTATGTAGTATTTTGGGGCTTTATTTTTATTTATTTTTTAATTTTTATTTTATTCATATGTGCATACAATATTTGGGTCATTTCTTCCCCCTTCCCCCCGCCCCCTTGGGGCTTTTTTTTTAGAACATCAACTTCTTGACTACTCCTTTTTCTTGAATTCACCAGGCTAAGGAATAAGTGATTCTGTACTCGGAATATGATTTCTTGTAACTAATGTACAAATGACTATATATGCCAAAATAGAGGTATACTTAGAAATCTACCTTATATGTATGCCCAGATAACAATTATGAGTTATCTCATAATTGGCCAGAGTCCCTGCACCCCTCCCCACTATCAGTCCCTCCCATGCAACATCTGAAAACAGCACAGTCAGTAAGCCCCCGTTTCCTCCAATTCCTTCCCATAGTCGTGATGTTCAGCTGAACCTTTGGATACTAATCAGGAGGAACACCTGCTATCACCCATCAGCAAAGGGCTATCTTGCTAGTGGTCTGTATGACAAGCGTACCTATTCATTCCCAGCTACATATTGTGGTGAGGGGTTTGTTTTGTTTTAGTAAGTTTGACTGGTATAAATCAATCAATTAGAGGCTGGACATCAACATTAACAAGGCATGAGAAATAGCCCACCAAGGTACACTTCATGAGGACAAACCTAAAATGTTACATTAGAAACTCATGTCTGTTAATCATAGCATTTTACATCAGCCCAAGGCAAAACAGTCCCTTTTTCTCTACCTGGTAATTCACTGAGTAGTGACTACAGAACCGACAGGCCAGGGATAAGTGCACAGGACTGCACAGCTATGCTCAAGTGTTGCCTTCTCTCACTTTTAAAACAAGGACTGACTGTTCACAGTGACTATCTCTGAGGAGTGGGAGTCAGAATGACTTTCATTTTTGTATTTTATGTGCTGCAGTATAGGTTGAATTTTTACAAAGAGTATGGCTTTATAACAAAAAAGCATTTCCGTTTTGAGAAAGAATAACATGAATGACAATCTGGTTCACGTAAGAATATAAGAACCAAAAATAATTCTAGCACAAGAAGAAAATACAGCAGAAACAGTCTACTGAGACCAAAATGAACTCTCAAGCAAACGTTCCACAAATACACATTTTTTTTTAAGACAACAGATTTTAGCTTAAAAATAAAAATCTATGGACAATTTCTGAATTTCTATGCCAAATGGTTTCCTCCCATTTGGGCCAGAGGTTAACAACAAAGGCTTAGTGCCTTTCTTGACTAGAGGACAGGTTTGCAAGCAGGCATTTGTTTTCTCCTGCACATTAGAAAGAGAAATGAGGATGCAAAGAACACGGAGACACATTGAAAAGGTCCCCGAACTGTACCTTCCCCAGACCCTGGCAAAAAAGAACAAGGAAGCAGTTTAAAAAAAAAAAAAATTTAGCAGTTACATTGAAATCAAAACACAAGGTCAGAAGCCAGGTGTGGGTTGGTGGAAAACCTATAATCCCAGCACTATGTAAACTGAGGCAGAAGAATCAAGAGTTCAGGGCTAGCCTGGGCTACATAGTGAGCTCCTGTTTCAAGACTAAAACAATTAAAAACAAAACAGAAAGTACAAGGTCAAGAGCAAGTGGCTGCAGCTGCACTTATGCCTGCTAAAGTCTTGGTTAAAACATGGTTTCTTTTCTCTGACAGTGATGCACATTCCCTCCCTCCACCCCAAATGCATAAAGGGTAGGCCACGTGTTAGAGGTGGGAAGAACAGAAATTCTGCGGGAAAGACTGCTCAGCCTGAGTTATTCTCAATCTGAGTTATTCAATGCCATGGAAATTTGATTCCCCTCTCTGCTTTTGAGACAGCATCTATAAACCCAAACTGGCCTTGAACTTGAGAACCTCTTGCCTCAGCTTCCCAAGTACTGGGATTAGGAGAAAATTTGCTTTTAACGGAGAAATCCTGCTGTTAAAATTAGTGTAAGTTATTAACTGAAGGCTCTACTGCAGACTTTCTGTTCCTTACCTTTGGAAAAACACTTATCCTCTACTATCCTTCGCTTTCCTCTGTTTCTTTAAGAGGAGGAAACCCCAATAGTTCCCAAAGCCATTCATTTATTACTGAGGCTCTATTAGATGTCAGCAAGTGATTCAAAAGGGTAGTTTTAAATTCTGAGTAAATGACCAATCTCCATTCTCCCATTTCTCTATATCATATCCACTTACACTAACAGAAGTTCATAGAATCAAATTTCCGTTTCTAAGACCGTGACTACTTTAAAGTTGTCACGAGAACTGCACCCTTTCGCCAAGCCTGCCTCAGTGTGCCTCGACGTTCACCTCAACAAATTAATTTTAAATGGCCTTTAACAGCCTCAAGCCGTGCGTGATGGTGTGCGCCTGTAATCCCAGCACTGGGGCGCGCAGAGGGTGTGCGTAGGGGGGACAGAGGGGGTGTTGGGGGTCACGAATCACGAGTTCGAGGCCTTCCTGGGCTACAGAGCAAAACACTGTCTGGGGGAAAGATAAAAAAAAAGCCTCGGAACGCTGTGTGGGTTCGAGTGTCAGAGGAAGAACTGCTCTGGTCGTGATGCATACTGCATGGGCTACACTCTGACCAATGGAGAATTCGCATGTACCTTCCACCCCAGGACTCTGGTTAACCCCTTCCCGTCGCCCGTTTCCCGCGGACGGACGCTGGCTCGGTGTGAGGGCCCGGGAGGGCTGCGCCGAGCTGCCGCCCGCACGCTTCGGCGCCCGCAACGCTCGCACAACTTGGTGCGCGCCGCGGCTGCGGACGAAAGCGCTCTCCCGCGGCAGGCGGAGCGTGTTCCCGGCCCGGACCCGCCGCTTCTCACTAACGAGAGGCGTGCGCGCCGGCGCCGCTCCGCGCCTCCTCCCTCGGAGCGCGCCCAAGTCTGCGGCCTCGGCTCCGGGACGCTTCCCCTCCCACCCGCGCCGAGCCCAGCAGTAAGTTGAGCGAAGCGGGCTCCGGGCCGTCAATCAGCCGGGGCCTCCCGCCTCCCTCCCCTCCCCCCTCGAAAAAGAAAATAAAGGCAGAGTGGGGAAGGGGAAAGGAGGGAACCAGTTTGCCAGCTAGTCGCCACCGGGGTTCGCCTACGACTCCGGCAGGCCCGCACACCAGGGACCTGAACGCCGGCATCGGGGCAGGCGGCCCGCCAGCCGCCCGCCGCCGGGTCCTCGCAGGGCGTCGGGCTCCCCGCACAGGTCGGCGGCGCTCCGGCCCCGCACTCCCGTCAGGCCCGCGGCCCGGGCCAAAGTTGCGCAAATAGCCCCACAACTGGCAAATACTCACCGGCCGCAGCAGGAACCAGGGCTGCGGAGATTTTAGGGAGTTTAAGGCAAATCGGGAGCGGGCGAGGCGGGCGGAGGCGAAGGGGCTGCGAACTGCAGTGGCGGCGGCGCGCGGCGCTCCGGCTGGGCTGCGCGGAGAGACTCTGGCTCTGCCAGGGACTGTGCTGCAACAAAGGACTTCCGCTGCCGCACAGCCGCGCCTGCCGCACCGCACTGAGCCGGCCCCGCTTACGCGGCGACTCGGGTCTGCCCACCAGTTCGCTGCGGCGTCCGCCAGCCTTCCCCTCCCTCTCGCCCGCCCACCCACTCCGCCGCTGGCTGCTAGGGGCACCCGCAGTCGCCTGTTGGTTGCAACAAGTTTCTGCGTCGGGCTCCGAGGAGGCTGGCACACCCCGCACCGCGGGGGCCGGCGCGGTGGCGGCCTGGCCACCCCTCTCGCCCCTCTCCCAAGGGCAGGCTTGGGACCTCCTCCTCCTGTTTGCACAGCTGGAAGGGACTGGGCTCCTCCCGACTCCCCAAGGGCTGGATGCTGCTTTCTCACTCCGCCCAGATGTCAGACCCCTGTCCCGCAGGGCCCCGCGGCGGGACCCTCCCTCCCCGTATGCCCCGGGCGTCCTGGGGGCGCCCGCACACTCGTCCCGTCCTGTCCGCAGCTCGTCCGCTCAGGGTGGCCCATTCCCCGCGCTCCCCCCACCATGCCTTCTGTGGGCCTGTCCGCCTCTGGCCCTGAGTCACTTCCCCCGCCATGCCCCACCCCGCCCAGCCCGCCTCCCCTCCCGGGCTCCCGCCGCTCGGCCTCGCTGGCCCCGCGCCCTCACCCCTCTCCCGCCGAACACGCGGGCGCATTCTTCCCCACCCCCACCCCAGAACTGAGGGGGTTGCCCGTGCTTTTGCACACCCTGGGGAAAGTCCCCGGGTCACGCGGTTGTGTGTGGGAAGTCTGTGACGCTCAGACTTGTCCCCACGCTTCCTCCTACACAGTCACGACAGAGGACTGTGGCAGCGGCGCCCAGAGCGCGGGCCGACCCCCGCCCGGCCACTTAGGCGGGCGGGCGCGCACGTACGCACGCACGCACGCACGCGCGCACACCAGCCTCAGCGCCTCCGGCTCCCCAGCTACCAGGCGCACAGTCACGTGGGCCCATCGCGCGGCGGTCGGCGCGGGAAGCCGCGCGAGAGCGGACCTCGGGGTGCGTGAGTCGGCGCCACTGCGTGCCGTGCGCGGCGCGGGAGCCCGCCCCTCCCGCACGGAGGATCCCGCCCGCCGCCGCGGCGGAGTCTGGGTAAGCGATGCGGCAGCCCCTGTGGGCTGCTCCGGGCTCAGTCCCTCCCGCCGCGAGCCACCCGGGGCGGCGGCTGCAGCTGCACCGGTCGCGGGACAGATGCAAGTAGCTGGGGAGAGGGGTGTTTTTTTTTTGGTCCGTTTGAGATGTCAGTCAGGTCACAGGAAAATGGCAACCGCAAGTGAGCGCTGGGTGGAGGGTGCCCAGAGCCGCCCTCGCTGCGGGCCGCCGAGGCCTGGAGTCCTCCGGGTTGCGGACCGGGGTGCGACCCCGCGCGGGAAGCCCCATAGGGCCTGAGGCTTCCCCGGGCAGCCGGGCCAACCTCTCTGGAAAGCGGGAGGGTGTCCAGATTTCAGGCTGCGGGGACACTGTCCCTCTCTCCCTTCCACTTGCAAATACCCAAGTTCTAAACAGGAAGCCCCCCTCCCCAACCCCAGTAATTCATTTCTTTTTTCAAGTGTTTTTCTCATTCCATGCAAATCCAAATTCTTCTTTGTGATGCCTACCCCATCTTACTATCGCCTCCCTAGCACTCATTATTCGGAGAAATCGAGCTGTTATCGGTTGCTTAGGCAACGCATAGCGCCGTACCTGGAACCTGACAGCAGCTAAAGCTAACGTGTTGTTTTGTAAATTAAAGCCCTTATTCCCCTAAGGGATTAACTTGGTGTTCTTTCTCTTGAGACTCAAGATCTTTTGGCAGAGCTGTTGCTCTCTCGCAGGATTCTGTCAAGTGTGTAAAGTATACTTTGGAATCTCAGATTTTAGCGCCAAGGGACCTTATATAAAATCCAGTTCATCGCTCTCATTTTACAGGTGAAGTCACCAGGCCTAATGAGCTTAGTGGTGCTTAATCAAGGTCCTGCACCTCAGTAGCTGGAATTCAGGGCTGTAGACACTTTGGTCATGGTACTCTGCACTGTGCCAGGACTGCAGTGCCAGTTTAACCTGTTCTGGGCAATGTTTACACCAGAGGTGATTACGCTTGACTTGAAGATTTCTCAGGTTTACTGAGAACTCGGGTTTTTTCAGTGTGAGATGGCTCTGGAATAGAGGGGATGGCACTGTTTCCACGTGGGGTAGGTTGCTTATATATGATGTATTGTGGAGCCAAAAACCCATTCCCCACCCAGATCCACCTGCCCTTCAGCCTGTTCTCTGCAAGAATCACAAACATTTGCAGCAATGGTTGCTTCTTTAGGTTGAGGCTTCAAATTCTCTTTAGCAGTCTGGCTACGTTTTAGCTAGGGTTAACCGATGAATTCATTATTAAACAATACCAAGAGGTTAGTTCTGATGGCTGGGGTGCAAATGCCAATGAAACATCAGGGATGGATAGGATAGCAAGAAAGCAGGAAGGGAGCCCACATGACCTGCTGTACCGTTTTGCACAGACTTACCCTGAATGCCTTTTTGGGATTCTGCTCAAGTTTGGTTGCTGTTCATTAATACCGCACACTTCCAGTGAGCAACTTGATACTGCTGCCCCACTTCAATCGGTGCGATTGTATGGAAATCTCTGATAGAAACGGTAGTACTGTGTCCATGTTACAAATAATGTTGCAAATCTGAAGAAATGGGGTCAGGGAGATTTACCTGACTGCTGTGATGTAGTCATTTGCAGAGGAATCTAAGCCTAGATCAGTTATCTTCCAAGTCTAGTCAGTGCTCTTTCATATCTTGCCCCCACTTCAAGCCAGGAAGGGCATGAGAGAATCGCCTGTGGCTGATTTATTGGCGTCTGTGGTTGCCCAGAGAGGCCAAGCAGGACTTTCAGCTGCCCTCTACTCTTAGAAAGAGGAGTTGTGTGTTTCCACCCTATCTCCTGAGGGGAATGCAAGGAGCCTGGATGTCTAGCTGAGGAGGAGGGGCCCAAGTGCCTTGGCCATATATTGTTTGTTTTTTTTTTTTTGTTTTTGTTTTTTTTTTTTTTTTTTTTTTTTTTTTTTTTTTTTTTTTTTTTTTTTTGTTTTTTTTTTTTTTTTTTTTTTTTTTTTTTTTTTTTTTTTTTTTTTTTTTTTTTTTTGTGTTTTTTTTTTTTTTTTTTTTTTTTTGTTTTTTTTTTTTTTTTGTTTTTTTTTTTTTTGTTTTTTTGTTTTTTTTTTTTTTTTTTTTTTTTTTTTTTTTTTTTTTTTTTTTTGTTTTTTTTTTTTTTTTTTTTTTTTTTTTTTTTTTTTTTTTTTCTTTTTTTTTTTTTTTTTTGTTTTTTTTTTTTTTTTGTTTTTTTTTTTGTTTTTTGTTTTTTTTTGTTTTTTTGTTTTTTTTAAAGAGGCCTGTGCCCAGGGCGGGGCTGGGTTAAGGGGGTGCCTTAATTGCTTTTGTCCTTATTTTTCCTACTTGAACTTCTAAAGGATTTGTATGTCACTGCACCATGTCTGTAGTTTGTGGTTGCTTTGACTCTTTCATTTCTTGTCCTATTTTTTTTTTCGTAAAACTAGTGACTAGTAAAGATGACTTTGGGGGGTTTTGATTATTTATTTGCTGATTTCCCTCAATCTTTTCTTGTTTAAAAAAGATACGGGTGCTCTTTATTTTTTGAAATATATTAAAGTTGTTTTACTTCTATTTCCTTGTGTCCTTACTTTGTTGATGTATTGTCCTAGCACGAACATTTTTGAAGGTCAGTCCCTATGATGTAGGTGAGAACATAAAATATGTGGCTTCTCTAGTTTAATAGTTATTAATAAGGCTTGTTGGAATTTAGACCTCTTTGCTTGATTTTCTATCTTTTCATAAGTCATTTCGCTAGTTTGTGTGTTTCCTAAAAGTCTTATAATTTTTCCTCTGTGTAAATAGCATACCGTAAATTAAATAATTTTGTCTCAGTTGTAGGTATTAAAAGCGATTAATTTTTATGAGTCTATTTTATTCACATTAACCTTGCAGATAGTAATTTACTCATTATTACAGCAGGCTATTGATAGTTATAACGGGCATTCTTCTATGTAAAGGAAAAGATATTGCTACTTGTGAAGCTTGCTTTTTATAAAATAGGGTGGGATGGTTGCGGGTCACAGTGGCTTCATTTTGCCTTTGGAATCCTAATGCTATCTTCAGTTAGGCAGAGATCAGGAGGTATTTCACTGATTTCAATTATCAACTTGGTCATATTATATTCATTTTGATGATTACTTTCTTTTTTATTCTCAATATAATAAACCCACCCATTTTTAATAAAAAAATTTAATTATTATGGGTTCTGGTGGTGTTGCTGATTTGGTTGAAGGCCTTGAGTCAAGGCTCCTTTAGAACTTCCAAGAAATATTAAAGGTGGAGGATAGAAAATTGTTTCTTTTATTCAGTTATTAATTGACAGTTTTCAGGATTCTTAGTTAATTTTATTTACACTTCTGCTTTCCCTTTACTAGCAGGAATTTTTCTTTTTTTTTTTTAATGTTTTTCATTATTTGGAGAAGGTGTTTATAGTGTTAAGTCGTTTTTGAAATTTTTCTAACTCACTTGTTCCCTGGTAACAAATTAATCATATACGGATGTTTTATGCCCTCTGAAAACTAGGCATTTTAAGCAGGGTTTTCATTAGCCCTGTGGGTATGCGTTCATGGAACTGAACTTCTCTGGCAAAGGAAGTGTTGGCTTGCTTGCACTCAGAAGTTCTAATTGCTTCTGCCGGCTGTATCCTAGGTCTGTAACCATTCTCGTTTTGAACTGTATTTGTCCTTTGACTACATTTTTTTTAATGGACTAAGAGGAATTTTTTCTTTTTCCTCACAAGTTCTGATTTTTCTTCAGGTCCATGAGCAGTTTGCACTCAGTGTTGTAAGCACTTTGGTAGCTTTCATCAGGCTTCCCACAGTAGAATTAGAGATGGAGAAGGCTGTCTGTGTCTGCCGACAGACATGAGGACCCAAACTATCCTGTTAAAGGTTTCTAGAGTGTAACTGCTGTTCCTGTATCATCTACCACATCTACCGCTTTGACATTCTCTGTAAATTTTCATAAGTAGATGTTTAGGATTTAGAGATTTTTTTTTCATCTCAGACTATATTTTCAGATTTAGGATTTCTGTATAATTTTAGATTTGAAGTATAAAGGAGTATGAGACCTATTTCTTTTTCCTAAATACTTTTTTTTTTTTGTACTTGCAAGGCAGGCAATCTACCACTTCATCTACAACTCCAGACCATTTTTGCTTGGTTAATTTGAAGATGGGGGTCTTGAGAGCCAGTTGCCCAGGACTGGCCTCAAACCAAGATCCTCCCCATCTCAGCCTCCCAAGTAGCTAGGATTACAGGTGTGACCAGCAGTGCCCAGCCTCCAGTTTTTAGTTGTTTGTTTTTTTTTTTTTTAATGACACCAGAGTTTGAACTCAGGTCCTCACACTTGCTAGGCAGGTGCTCTTACTGTTTGAGCCATTCTGCCAGCCCTGTTGTGCTGATTTTTTTTTTTTTCAGATGAAGGCTAGCTTTGAACCATGATCCTCCTGATATCTGCCTCCCAAGTAGCTAGGATTACAGGTGTGAACCACTGGCGCCAGCCACCTTTTTTTTTTTTTCTTTAGCGATGCTGGGTGCTGGGGTTTGAACTCATAGCCTCGTGCTCTTTGGCAGGCACTCTACCACTTGAGCCACACACCCCAGCTCTTTTTGCATTAGTCATTTTTTTCAGATAGGTTCTCACTTTTTTGCCTGGGGCTAGCCTCAAACCATGATCCTCCTACCTCTGCCTCCAGGGAAGTTTAGATTACAGGTATGAACCACCACACCCAGCTTGTTGTTGAGATAGGGTCACTCTAACCTTTTGCCTGGGCTGGCTTTGAACTGTGATCTTCCTGTCTCCATCTTCCAAATAGCTGGGATTATAGGCATGAACCACCCCACCTGGCTTCACCAAAAATAATTATTAAATGTAGCTTCTAACATCTTTCTATATGCATGAGAAAGTTTGGCTATTCCCCAAACCAGAGGAAGTAAAGTAAAATAAATGATGAGTCAAGACTATATAAAAAGCCTAAGTAGGGCTGAGGTAAAAGGATTGTGAGTCCCAGGCCAGCCTGGGCTACATAAGGAGGCCCTGTCTCAGAATGCTTAACAAAAGGCACTGGGTTTAAAATCAGACTTGAACAACTGCAGCTATCAGCACTAGTTCATAGTAGCTGTCAGACTTTAGGTACCTTTCCTGCCTTCTCTTTGAACAAGCAGCCTGGCACCCAGTGGCTTATGCCTGTAACCCTAGCTACTCAGGAGGCAGACATCAGGAGGATCACGGTTTGAAGCCAGCCTGGACAGTTTGTGAGACCCTATCTTGAAAATACCCTTCACAAGAAAAGGGCTGGTGGAGTGGCTCAGGGTGAGGCCCTGAGTGCCCGCCTAGCAAGTGTGAGGCCCAGTACCACCAAAAAAAAAAAAAAGGCATAATCAGTGGAGATTGACTCCACAATGACCCAAAGTTTAGCAGAGAATATTTAAAACAGGCATTATAATCACGCTAAGGGGGAAAAGCAAAATGAGGAGAATACAAATGAAATCTCAGAGAAACAAAACACTTCAAGAAAGAAAGTTTTTAGACCTGAAAATATAATATCTGAAATCCCAGAATCTTACTGCATGAGTTTGGCAGAGAAGTCTGAATTTGAGGATGGGTTAATAGAAGTTATCTAATCTGGAGCAGAAAGATACATTCTTGAATATATATGAAAATTCTCTAAATTTTAATACTCTGTGTCAGGTTTATTATTGTAGGTTTCCATCCAGGCCTAGACTCACCTCTTCCCTTTACAAATGGACTGACTTCATAGTTTATAAATTAATGCCATCTAAAAAGACAGCTCTGAAATTCTCTTCTCACTTCAGTCATGTTCTGCTGTCAGGAGGGGATCCCTGTTTCTTCATTCTCCACAGCTAACTGCTGAACTTAACCTTTGGGTTGCCTAGCTCTTGGCTCCTCCTACACCATCCCCTTCAGCCCAGAGGTCTTCCTCTGCTCTGCAGCTCCTCTTTATCCTATCCTATTTGTGCCTGTCCTTTGTTGCATTCACTCTCTAATGTCCCCTTCACTCAGATAGTTTGCTTTTCTGAACTTGTCAGAGGTCACCACACCACTTAGAAGTGGTTTGTTATGTTTTTGTTTTGTTTTTTTGGTGGTACTGGGGTTTGAACATGAGGCCTCACACTTGCTAAGCAGGTGCTCTGTCATTTCATTTATTATAAGAAATTGTTTTTTACGTATTAAAATTTCCTGTGTAGATTCCCCCCACACACTTTTTTTTTGTTTCTCTGTAAATTGGTGGTGTTTTAGAATCGAGAAGATGAAAATTACAAGTAGTGACTTTTCTTAAATACCAATCATAGTTTGGATTTCTGATATGATTTTAGAGGATAGGCTCTAGTTGCTTCTGCTACTTTATTTCACTGGTGCTTAAAGTGTTTTAAAAATGAGGTGGAGGCTGGGCATGGTGCACACTTTCAATCCTAGCCATCCGGAGGCTTAGGTAGAAGGATTGAATCGAGGCTAGCCTGGGCTATGTAGTGAAACCCTGTCTCCAAAAGAAAGAAAGAAAAAGGAATGGTAAGGGGTGGTAAGAGTTTTGTTCTTATGAATGGGAGCACTATTGTTTGAATAAGTAGGGTTTAAAAGTAATGCATGAAGGTATAGTTAAAAAGATCAAATTGCAGAATTCCTGAAGTACAATATTTATATAAAAATGTAAAACTCATAGAACAATTCTATACCTTGTTATTGGCTATATACTTATACAATAAGAATGCGGTGATACATGAGAGAGTCTTAAACACCAAATTCAGGATGATAGTTATCTTTGGAGGTGAGGTAGGTGAGGAGAAGGAATAAGGAAAAGATGCCTTGGGATGTCTGTCATGTTTGTAGTGTTTATTCTCTTTGTTGAGTAGTGGGTGGTAGGTACATTGTTCTCTGTACCTACTGGTCTAACTGAAATATTTTACAACTTTAAGTTCAGGCGATATAGTCCCCCTGACCCCTACTCCTTAGTTTCTCTTCTAGAAGTAAACATTTTACTGGTTTCTTTGAACCATTTAAGAGATACATATATATAAACCGGAATATATTTATGTATTTATAAATTCTTCTCCCACCCTTAAAAATAAAATAACCACTCCATTCCTTTTACATAACAGCAGTCTTCTCTGTACAATTTTATATTATACCTTTTTAACTTATTATATCTTAGAGATTATTCCATATCAGTACATTAAATATGTAGTTGAGTAAAACTGCATTTTACTTTTTGTCAGTAATAATTACTATCATCTTTACGGTTATATTCTGGCCTTTATTTTCTAATAAGCACATATATTGGTTTTGCTGTATCACATTTGCTTAACCCCAGTTAAGGAATTCCAGTTTCTTCTTTCCCAGTTCCTCTTTCCAAATACTCCTGAGCTTCCCAGGAGTGTTTTTATGTGTAACCCTTTTGTTCTCTATGCTTTTTAAGCTTGTATGTAGGTCATGCTCCCTTGGGCTCTAAATCCTTTTTCTCACTTACTAGCAGTATGACCTTGTGTAAATTACTTTCACCACTGTGTTGATTCAGCACCTTCATCTGTAAGAGGCATTTAGCATTCCTTTTCTTGTAAAGTTGTATGAAAAATTAGCTGGGTGATGATGGCTCACACCTGTAATCCTAGCTACTTAGGAGGCAGAGATTGGGAGAATCATAGTTTAAGGCCAGCCCTGGCAAAAAGTTTGCAGAACACATCTCCACCAATAAAAAGCTGGGTGTGGTAGGGTATGCCTGTCACCCCAACCACCCAGAAAGTGTAAATAGGATTGCAGTTCAGGCTGTCCTGGGAATAAATACAAGACTCTATTCAAAAAGTAACTAAAACAAACAGAGTTGGGGGCATGGCTTAAGTTTGAGTTCAAACCTCAGTACTACCAAACAATAAAAAAAAAAAAAAGAAATGAGTGAGTGTGGGGCTGGCTCAAGTGGGAAGAGCACTGTAATATGTATATTAGTGATTGCTCATCTGTCTGCTGCCCAAGCTACTGCCAACCTCCAAACACCTAACCCCACACCCACACCCGACCACTGACCTCCCTAGACTGTGGTCTGTCTGGCTAGTGAGGAAATCTCATTTTTTTTCTTCACGATCTGCTCTTTCAAAAGATGTTACCCAGCCACCCAGTGATGCCTTTATACTGAGCTGCCTCATCCCTAATGCACCAGGGCTTTCTGCACAGGAGGGTAGAGAAGGTGGTGAAGTACAGCCCCCACCTGCCTGAATTCAAGTACTCCTGAATGTCCTTGCTGCTCACGGTAGGCCTCTTGGCCAGAATTCTTTTGCATGTTCTTCCCCTTATAGGGCTCCCCCCTCCATTTTTTTTTTTTATCTGCCTTCTCTTTCAGGAACATATGTATGTGTCTAAATCAAGTTGAGGTAAGATCAGGGTTTAGGTTCTTTCTTGTAAGGTTCCTGGGCCCCATGCAAATCAGGCACTAGAGCTTGACATCTGTTTTGAGAGCTCCTGAGCTTACAGTGAATGAAAAGTCCCCACATTTTATGATAGTCGGGAGACTGGTGTCCACTCAGCAACAGAAGATTGGATCCCTAAGGAGCAGTGGCAGCTCTAGCCCAGACAGGACACCTGTCATGTTACTCATATTTGTAGCTAATATCTGAATAGCAGTTTCCAGTACAACATGATTTTCACATAAGTTACCTCACTTAACTCTGAGGCAGGGACCAGTATCTCATTTCTATTTTCAATTAGGAAACAGCTTAAAACCATTATGATCAGCATGGGCTGTAACCCTACCTACTTGGGAAATTGAGATTGATAGGATTGAGGTTTGAGACCAGGCCAGGCAAATAGTTCACAAGATTCCATCTCCAAAAAAGTAACTAGAGCAAAATGGACTGGAAATGTGCCTCAAGTGGTTGAGTGCCTGCTTTGCAAACATGAGGCCCTGGGTTCAGACCCTAGGCACATCAAAAAAAAAAAAAAACAAAGTTATGATCACAAGCTGGGGATGTAGCTCAGTGGTATAGTGCTTACCTAGCATGCACGAAGTCCTAGATTCCATCCCTAGCACTACAAAAAGAAAGAAGAAGAAACATGAATATGTAGATAGAAAAAGACAGAACTTCCCTTTTATTAATGTGTCACTCATACCAAGTGGAAAAGAGCCATGTTTTTCAGTAGAGTTAATTTTTTACCAGTTGTCATTATGAGGAGGATTTAATGTTAGCTATGGTTGGATGAAATTAGCAGAATTAGTTGGATAGTTTGATTTAAATTTAGGTCTCCTTGCCATTCTATATTAATATGAACTGTAACCAGCTTTGTATTTTTATACACACACATATCCAAACATACATATTTATGTTGCTCTTTTTCTCAGAAACACAATGGATACTGTTAGCCATAGCCTTGTTCTTCTGCAGCAGTTGAACATGCAGCGAGAATTTGGTTTTCTGTGTGATTGCACAGTTGCTATTGGAGATGTGTACTTCAAAGCCCACAGAGCGGTGCTTGCTGCTTTTTCAAACTATTTCAAGATGATATTTATTCACCAAACAAGGTAAGGATATATTTTTATAAATAAGAGGAATTTTAAATAGGATTCTTAATAGAATTTTTAATTTTGTGATATATATATGATTATAATATTCTTCATTTTGGGTTATTCTAAAACATTTAAAACTATAATATTTTGTACATCAGTAACTAAATATGTGTACACATGGTGGAAAATAAGAATGAAAACAATTATAGCTAAAATTTATTGAAGGCTTGTCCTATACCTATAAGCACTAAATCCAATAATATAAATTCTACTGGTATCCCTATATTAGAGAAAAAGAAACAAACTTTGAGTTGCTGAGTAACTTGTCCACCCATGATTATACAGCTAATAAGTTGGATTCAAGTGCATGTCTGTCTGTCTGAAGCTAACGGTCTGTGCTCTGAGTCTCCAAGTTGTTCTCTACTCCATAGCACTTGGTAAGGATTCAGTGTCATAATTCTACCCATCATCTACTTCTTTTTACAGTTCAGAGCTCATTTGTTTCAAATATTTTTTCCAATAGTTCTTTTTCATTTTTTGAATTTAGATAGCAGATTAATTCAGATTTTGAGCTTCCAGTAAAGTAATTTTAGTCCATTCTAATTTGAAAGTGACAGAACATTCCATTCCATGTTTTTGTTTTTGTTTTTGTTTGAGGACCCTACATGAAATATCTAGGAGTCCAACCTCAATTATACATTTTTATTTAACTGTTCACTCATTCAAATACTTAAACACCTATGTGTCAGGCACTGAGCTGACCCCAGTAACAGGTAAGTTATACACCCTGCCTTCGGTAAATTCAGAGCCTGACAGATAATAAATGTAAAGCAAATAATCACAGTGTAATTGATCTCTCTATGCCACAGTGTGTTAGTCACTTTTTGTCACTGTGACAGAATACCTGAGAAAACCACATAAGGGAGAAAGGATTTATTTTGGCTTACAGTTTCAGAGATTTCTGTTCATAGTCAGCAGACTCCATTGCTTTTAGGCCTGAGGCAAGGCGGGACCATCATGTTAGAATAGAAAGCTGCTCACCTCGCAGTTGCCAGGAAGCAGAGACAGCCAAAGAGGAAGGATCCAGAGACTAGATATATATTCTTCAAAAGCATGCTCTCATTGACCTACCTCCTTCTAATAGTCACATCTCCTAGTTTCTACCATATCCTAATAATGCCATCAAATTAGGAATCCATCAATAAATAAACTCATTGGTAAAGTTAGAGCCCTTGTGATCCAAGACCCTTCAGCTGTCAGCCAAGCCTTGAATACATTTTAGATTTGAACTGTAATGCCCTTGAGTGTAAAATGTTAGAATAGTATATTCACCCCTTGTAAGATTGAATGGATTGATAATACTAAAATGCTTATCTGGGCACTAGTGTCTCATACCTGTAACCCTAGCTACTTAGGAGGCAGAGATAAGGAGGATCACAGGTCAGGCAAATAGTTCATGTGACCCTATCTCAAAGAAATACTTCACAAAAAAAGGGTTGGTGGAGTGGCTCAAAATGTAGACCCTGAGTTTAAGCCCCAGTACCGCAAAAAAAAAGATGCTTAAAACAGCCTTGCTATTAATAAGGTGGTAAGTGTGTCATCAGAAGTATACAAGGTAGAGCTGGCAGAGTGGCTCAAGTGGTAGAGTGCCTACCAAGTATGAGGCCCTGAGTTCAAACTCCAGTACCACTAAAAAAATAAATGCACACATAGTATACAAGGTAGAATAGGGTTTCGGCAGCCCTATTTTGAGAAGATGGAACAGACTTTATAGAGATCCTGGATTTTGAAGGGTGGATCAGAAGGAGTTTTTCAGATGTTGTAGAGGAGTATAAGAAAGTGCACTGTAGGCAGAGAGAACAAATGGCCTGAAAATGTACACAGGTATGAACCTGTACAGTTATGCATCAGATACGAACATTCAGACAGCAGAGTTGGTCAGAATGATTGAAATGTAAGGCACAATGAGGAGACAGGGTTGGAGTAGGGGATAGGTAGTGGGCAGCCTTTTCTGCCACTCTAAGGAGTTTCTTTGACTTAAGTGTCATTGTAGATTACCTTCACTACATTAGAAATGCCTTTTCCTCATACACCTCAGCACCTACAGCATCTGTTTATGCTAGGCACAGTACTAAACCTAGGAGTTTAGTATTGCCTGCTCTGCAGTATGTCTGCATTGGGCAACTAAAAATTCTTAGTTAATAGCACTCTGAACTGATTCCCAAAAAACCTGTCACACACCATGTCAGTGAGCAGATAGGTAAGAACAAAGAATGAAACCCAAAAGAGGAAGTGTGAGTCCTGAGGTAGCAGGACTGAAGAACTGGATTTCCAGCATACAGACCCCAGTGCATTCTGGTACACTGACATAAGCTTCTCCAGGAAGGTAGGGCCGTTGACTTTCCCATTGCTCCTTGATAGCCAGCTTTCCTGTGTGTGCTTTCTACCATAATTTGCTGTGGGTTGCATCGTTATTTCCATCTGTTAACTAAGTTATAGATTCATAATTGGGTTTGAGGTTACCATCAAGTTTTTCAAAATTATACCTGTATTTGTGATTTAAAGAGTAGATATATATTAATGTGCTTTAGGAGCCAAAATAAGGTTAGCATAATTTAAAATTTAAATATTACTAATTTCATTAGACTCTAAATTTTTAAATATTTTATTGTGCGTGTACATTTATATGTATACAGTTGCCACTTTAACCATTTTTTTCTTTTTTTTGTGACACTGGGGTTTGAACTCAGGGCCTCATGCTTGCTAGGCAGGCACTCTTACTGCTTGAGTCACTCAGCCAGCCCCTAACCATTTTTAATTATAAAATTCAGTGGCAATAATTACATTCATAATGTACAGTCATCACCACTATTTCCAATACTTTTCATCACCCTAAACAGCTCTGTTTTGCCTCAGCCCTCCTTTAACTTCTAGCCTAATTTCTATCTCTTAGAATTTGCCTATTCTAGATTATTTATATAAGTGGCATCATACACTATTTGTCCTTTTGTGTCTGGCTTATTTTACTTAGCATACTGTTTTCATGGGTTCAGCCTTGTTATAGTATGTATCAGAAAATTCATTTTTTTTTTTTTCCCAGTACTAGGGGTTGAATTCACAGCCTCACAGTTAAGCAGTTACCACTTGAGCCATTCCGCCATCCCCAGAACTTCATTCTTTTTGATGACTGAATGATTTTCTGTTGTATGTATAAGCCACATTTTGTTTATTCATTCATCTTTGGTGAACATTTAGGTTGTTTCCACCTTTTGCTCCTGTGAATAATGCTTCAGTGAATATTGGCATACAGGTATATGTTTGATATCCTGTGTTCAGTTCTTTTGATTGCATACTTAATAGACCCTTAAATTCCTTCAGAGCAGGCATCTATTTTAGTCATCATTTTTCTACCCCCTGGCACCTAGTATAGAGCATATGGCTTAGGAGTTAATTAATGTTGAACTAATAAGGATGTATGTCTGAGTTTCCTAACTGTAGACAACAGATTGAATATATGAAGCCTTGTTGGTAGGTCATAAAACTGTCATATAATGAAAGTGTATGCTTTTGTCACTGTGTTTCATTTGTGTGGGTCTTTTTGTTTTAACAGTGAATGCATAAAAATACAACCAACTGACATCCAGCCCGACATATTCAGCTACTTGTTGCATATTATGTACACAGGGAAAGGGCCAAAACAGATTGTGGATCATAGCCGTTTGGAGGAAGGGATTCGATTTCTTCATGCTGACTACCTTTCTCATATTGCAACTGAAATGAATCAAGTATTCTCACCAGAAACTGTGCAGTCCTCAAATTTGTATGGCATTCAGATTTCAACAACCCAAAAAACAGTGGTCAAACAAGGGCTGGAAGTCAAAGAAACTCCTTCCAATAACAGTGGAAATAGAACTGCTGTCCAGGGTGACCACCCCCAGTTGCAGCTCTCTCTTGCTATTGGGCTGGATGATGGCACTGCAGATCAGCAGAGGGCCCATCCTGCCTCCCAGGCCTTGGAGGAACACCAGAAGCCCCCAGTGTCCATCAAACAGGAGAGATGTGATCCAGAATCTGTGATCTCCCAGGGTCACCCCTCACCCTCATCAGAGGTGACAGGCCCCTCTTTTACAGAAAACAGTATCAAAGTACACTTATGCCATTACTGTGGGGAACGTTTTGATTCTCGTAGCAACCTAAGACAACATCTCCATACCCATGTGTCTGGTTCCCTCCCATTTGGTGTCCCTGCTTCCATTCTGGAAAGCAATGACCTTGGTGAAGTCCATCCACTTAGTGAAAATAATGAGGCTCTTGACTGCCGCAGGCTCAGCTCCTTCATTGTCAAGGAGAATGAACAGCAGCCTGACCACTCAAACCGGGGTACCACAGAGCCTTTGCAGATCAGTCAGGTATCTTTGATCTCCAAAGACACAGAGCCTGTAGAATTAAACTGTAATTTTTCTTTTTCAAGGAAAAGAAAAATCATTTGTACTATCTGTGGTCATAAATTTCTTCGAAAGAGCCAGTTGCTGGAGCACATGTATGTTCACAAAGGTAAATCTTACAGATACAACCGATGCCAAAGGTTGGGTAATGCATTGGCCCAAAGACTTCAGCCGTACTGTGACAACTGGTCTGATGTCCCCCTGAAAAGTTCTCGCTTGTCTCAAGAACATTTAGACTTGCCTTGTGCCTTAGAGTCAGAGCTCACACAAGAAAATGTGGACACTATCCTAGTTGAGTAGCAACTTCTCTTTGGAAATATTTATGCCAGTCCTGAAGAAAAATTCACATGGCATTTTTTTATTCATAAATTATTTTCCTCGAGTTCTATTGATTTAAAAAAAAAAAAAATCCATGGTTTAAAGTTGTGTATATTAGGCCTTCTTATTATAAGAAATACTAGTACATGACTCTTAAAATGTAAACCTTCAGTTAGTCCTATGATCTTTTTATAAATTAAATCACTGTTTAGAAATCTGAAATCAATGTAGAAATATGGAAACTTTAGATTGAATGGTTATTTATAGAATCTCAAGTTTTTTCAGGTTGCAGAATCAGTAAAATAAAGTTGAATATGAAGTGAATGAAATCTATTTTAAAGAATATTCTAGAAAGTGTGGGTGTAGCTCAGTGGTAGAGTGCTTGCCTAGCATGCATGAGGCCCTAGGTTCAATCCTTAGCACTGCGAAGATACAAAAAATTTTTAAAAATGTGTATGTGTGTGTATATATATAGTTTAGAATATATATATATATATATATATATATATATATATATATATATATAAACTATCACACTTGGTTTATGTTTCACAGAAATAAGTCCCTATGAAGATTATTTTAAAATATTTGCTTCCATGTAGGAAATTAGTGATTATTTTAATGCATAGCTATATGTTACAAAGTATTAAGAAATCAGTTTTAATACATGTGTATATTAAGTCATGAGTAGTTTTAACTTTTTACTTACTAGCCCTAAGGTTATTTACTTAACATTGAATATACCTCATTTTAAAGAAAAATGCTAAGTTAAAAGAGAGGACTGGAGAAGAGTCAGATATGAAAAGGTCTTAAAATTAGATACATATGGATAAACATGTACAAACAGAGATACAGGTAGATCTGTATTACCTAACACACCAGGATTATACCTTAGTCTAGAGTCTTTTCTTGGAGACCTTAAGAGCAATTGGAGATTTTTGTGACCAGAGGTTTGTATAAATTTAAAGAAGAAAATTATAAAATACAAATCATCTTTCTATCCTTAATGTCAGAGGATTTTCTAGGCTGCTTGGGTTGAGGTTAGTTTCCTAAAAATCACTTGAAAAAGCAATTTTTCAGTGGCACAGTTTTCTTTTTCAGTCCCATAAAACCAAAAGAGTGGATACGATGTGTTGTAGAATTATGTTTAAAATTCATGATGGTAGCTTTCCCTTTGAATAAACTCTTCCCCTTTTATAATAGTGACACTTAAAAAGCTAAAAACCACTGGGCGCCCATGGCTCACTCCTGTAATCCTAGCTTCTCAGGAGACAGAGATAGGAGGAATGAGGTTCGAAGCCAGCTGGGGCAAATAGTTCCACCAGACCCTATCTCGAAAAAACCCTTCACAAAAAAAAGGGCTGGTCCTGAGGTCAAGGCCCTCCTGAAAAAGCTAAAACCCCAGAAAAATTAAAGTAGATGGAGTAAATCATGGATTCTGTTATTCTCTGTACCTAGAAAATAGCTGATCAAACTTCACCACAAAAGATAGGTCTAAATTGTTTCTTAAGTATTTAAATCTCATGTACTAATAGTCAAGGATAACAAAGAGGAAGACTCCATACATCTCTTTTTTATGCTGTCCTATTAAATTCTAAGCTTCACAGACATTTGAGGGTTTCTACTACTTCCTATACCACCACCACCAGCCAGCCCCCCCGCCACCTTTTTGATGTTCTTTTGTGACAGGAGCTCTCTGTGTGTTGCCCAAGCTGATCTCCCAACTCTGGGGCTCAAGCAGTCTTCCTGCCCCCCAGCCTCTTGAGTAGCAAGGACTGTGGGCTTATGCCACCAGACCTGACCTCACATATGAATATATCTAATAAAGTTGGTTTGTGACAGATTTTAGCCACATGCAAAAAGTCTTTTGCATTTTCTCCTGACTGAACAGTTCTGAGGAAGTTCATAATACATTTAACCTCAGTATTCAGGTGGTGCTTGTGCACAAAGAGTAATACAGCTAATTCTAAAACACAAACGTTTTCCCTGGGTAAACAGTGAGTTTAGGTGAATTACAAAGTAGTGAGGGGGTTTTGTTTGTTGCTTTTTTGGGGAGGTGGGGAGGGGATTCTAGACATGGTCTAGACATAGTGAGACATGGTCTCACCTTGTAGCCAGGCTGCCTTGAACTTCTGTCTCAACCTTCCTGGCTTGGGCCACTATGCCCAGCTTCAAAGTGGTAGGTTTCTTTCAAGGGCTGAGTGAAGAAAATTACTGGGAGTTGTGCAGAGCAGTTGCATTTCTGCCTTAGATAAGAAGTAAGCCTCCTGGATCAAGAATGGTGTGTGTTGAGGGCAAACCTAGCTATTCACAGGATCAGTTGCACTGGGAGTGGTTAAAACAAATGTGTTTCTCTTTGGGATTAGCAGTTACTTAAACTTTTCTAATTCATTTAAGTAATTATTCATACTCATTGCCCTCAATGATTTCATGTCATAAGAACACAAATATTAACATTGATTGCATGTATTTTAGCTTATTCAAGATCTATCCCTAACCTCCTTAAGGTGAAATTTTATTCTCATTAGGGTAATTTTTCCAGTTTTTCCTTTATAATTGTACCTACTTATTAGTCTTTTTTTTTTTTTGGTGGTGCTGGGGTTTAAACTCGGCCTCATGCTTGCTAGGCAGGCACTCTACCACTTGAGCAGCAGCCCCTTTTTTTGTGTTGGGTTTTTTTGAGATAGGACCTCAAGAACTATTTGCCTGGGCTGGCCTCAAACCTTGGTCCTCCTGATGTTTGCCTCCCAAGTAGCTAGGATTATAGGATTACAGGTGTGAGCCACCTGCACTGGTAGCTCATTAGTCTGTGATGCAGGGAGTCCTGTATCACTAAAGGGTAGGAGTAGAGGTGGTGATTATATAGCAGTTCATGGCAGAATCCAGAGAAACACTTAAGAGTTTGCTTGCAGCTGACAGGCTCTGCTAACCAACACTCATTTAAAGTGGAAATATATCTCTATGAGTATTAAGATTTTGGTTCACTGGATTTCTATTCTTACTCATATAGTTCCTTTTAATATTTAATGTAATCTAAACTGACCTCTGCCTCTGGAGTGCTGGAATTAAAGACATGCACCACCCTGAGTGTTGTTATTTTTTTAAACACGATTCCTCACTTTTTAAAAAAAACCTACTTTTTATTTAAAAAGTTCTTCTGGGTAGGACCTTTAGTTTTGACTATATCATCTGCAAAATGGAGGTTATTTTTAGCCAGTATTCTAGTAATGTGGTGTGGCTTACCTATAATTACTAGGCTTGAAACCGGAATTACCATATGCACTTTCTCACCAGTGGATCAGGCAAATACTAGACATTTTCCTCTTGGATCAGCTTTAAATTTTCCTTCTTTCCCAGATCCTACATATAGTTGTTTTCTTGAGAAAAAGATGTTTCAGTATTTGTCCTTAGTGTATTATCCAAACTTAGTATTGAATCTGTAGTGTGCCTTAAAACTATAATTTCTTGATATATAACTAACTTGAGATTCCTACTTCATGCTCTGACTTTTTGATTTGCCAACTGTAAAATGGGTGTAAGTAATATTACTTACCTACCTACCTCACAGGGATGTTATGAGGATTTGTGTAAAAGCTGGGTTAAGTTAATAAAAACCAACCATATAAAAAAAACTACATTTATTCTATTCTGTAGCTAAACTTAAATTAACTTCAGTATTTTAACCTATAAATTCCTAGAACATGTTAGATTTAGGCATGTATTATTTAATATCAAATAATTAAATGACAAAATTTTAATTTTTTTAACAAATACCCTAGAAATAGCAGTATTGCTTGAATTCCTGTTTTACTACAGTTTATCATTATTTCTCTTTAGCCTTTAGCAAGGAGGATATTAAGATTTTTGGTATTATTGGGAATAAAACCTTGTCAGTTTCAGCATTATTGAAAGTTTCTCCAAACATATTGTTTCACATAACAAAAGGAACAAAGACGTTGAAGAAATAGTATTTTCATTTATTTGATGAAGATGTTCTAAATAGTAAGGACAGAGACTGGAACAAGGATAATACAGTAATTCGTTAATGTTCTTATAATATTGGTAAAGTGTTCACTGAAACAGAACGAAATACATAATAAATCATGGAAAATTATTTGAAAAAATGTGTAATTGCATTAAAGTTCATTTGTATAGGCAAATTCTATTTTTTTTCTCTTTGTACAGGCAAATTCTTGATGTTAAAACTCAGATCCTTGATAAGTATCAATTTTTTGTAGTAGTTGAGATAAAAATAGGCCATTTAAGAGTTTTCATAATGTAAGTAACTTGTATCTTTGTATATTCAAACTAAATGTGTGTTTATGGCATTTTATTATAATTTATTTTAAAATTCTTAAGATTGGAATTTGTCAATGACTATTTGTGCAGTTGATCTTTTTGAAAACTGGTAGGGTTACACAAATCCTAAGCCTAGATATTTTAAATATAAGTAATCCCAGACTGTGATTGTTACCTTTAAAACCTGAAGAATTATCCATTGTGCTTTAATATATATGTGTCTGTATCACATGATTATTTAGCAGATACTGCTTCAGTGCAGTTGACATTAAATGTCATTAATCTATTTTGTGCCAGATAGTCATTTATCCAAAATAGATCAAAATATATAAACTTAAAATACTTTAAAAGAAACTTGGATTTCAAAATCTTGTATAATAAAAAGGGCCCAATGAAGAAATCTTCAAATTATAAGTAATATACAGCAAATATAGAAGACTGAAATCAATAACACATTGGTTAAACTTTCCCACCTAATGTACTATGAACTAATTTGGAAACTTTGTATTCTCTAGTTGGAATGAAAACAGTGGAGTTTATGTATTTTATCAAGACAAATAAATTAATGTGATTTAATCACAAATAAAACTTTTTACTATCCCAGCTTGCAGATTGTGTTCTTACTTTACAGCAGTGTTTGCCAAATGTCCTCCTGGTGTTGAGGTAAGTAGTCTCTGCATTAGGTAACATTCTGGAAGCATGACACAAAAGCATCAGTAGATGCTTTTTTTTTTTTTTTTTTAAACCAGCTATCTGTGCTAATAGAACAGCAGTGTCCTAACCAAGCATTTTTCTGCAAAGAAAGGTAATGTCTAGTCATTTCTCAGAAGTTTCTTGCTTTGTTCTTATCTTCTATTTATATTCTTACCTCCTTCCTCCAGTTAAAATAATCCACAACAGTGCTTCCAGGATTCTCCAGGACAAAAAAACAACCAAGGGGGGCGGGATGGGAAGACAGTGGCTCATCCAATTATGGAGGCCAAGAAATCCCAATATTTGCACTCTATAAGCTGAGAACCAGGGAAACCAATTATATAATTCTGAGTTAAAAAAAAAAGAACCAAGAAAACTAATGGCATAAGTTCCAGTCCAAAACTAGCAGGCCTAATTCCCAAGAAGAGCC